TAATGCCCGTCGATCGTCATTGCGTAACAAACAATCCTAACATTTCCCGGAATTCTTCCGAGAACATTTCCGACGGAAGGTAGGGTAATAGTGTCCCAAAGGTAGGGTAAGTATGTCCATGGTGACACGAAACCTGTCTCCAAGGTAGGGTAACGTGACTTCCTTAGGTAGGGTAAGCTCACCCGGCCTTCTGACCTATCCTTAGGCCAGAGCGGACATTGTCACGTCACTACCACTACCTAGGTACACTAAACCTTAAGTACCTACTGTTCTTTTAGAGATCTCCGGACCATCGGATATCTCTCGGACATGCGCCTGCATACCCGCCTAGTCTACTAGCAAACCTCTTGGTCTTTTGTATGGGCGTAGACGTAGGTTACCATAGCTCTATATCGTAGGGTCGTTACACCTGTGCCCTCAACTCAGTCTCTACAGCTACTATTCACCGCTACTTTCTTGCCTGCATGCGGATCCTTGATGCCTATAGGGCTGGGCTCCATTATGGTACAGCAGAGTTTCGTGAACGGGTTTACAAATGCCACCGCCATGTTGAAGACAAGACAGAGTGGTAGTGTTATATAACTGGGTTTAGAGTGTCCTATTACTTAGTCATCCCTTTTACCAATGTCCGCCTACTCCGACTATAGAGTTCCCTCACCATAGCTGCATTCCGGGCCAGACGCCCCATCGGAAATATGATATTTATAGCCTCACATTGACGCATTTCCCTCCACGAGAAAATGCCCGCAGCCCTATAATTCCATTTTCATCACTCTCCAATGACGCCCCCCAAATGAGCGTGTATCATTCTGGGAAATGATGTACTACTAAGGGCCGGGACAACGATTACCAGTATGATACAGTACAACGCCACGGTCCCGAAAACCGCTGCTTTCCAAGGCTCCCAAACTCGATTCTCACCGAGGTTAATAACCAACCGCTTTGGACGGAATACAAGAAGGGCGTGCCCCGAGTGGGAGCCAGGGCGTGTGGGGAAGCTTCTTAGCTGTTGCTTTTGGGGGTTGTCACGCTCCCAGAGAGGATCACTTTGCATGTCCAGTGTGAATCCAAATTTGGAGAATTCATCAGATCTTGCCTCCCTCCATCAGCTCCCTATCTCACATGAGTTGTGGCGCCCGTATGACCCCCCATCTTGGGTGGCCTAGCTGAGGGGATTTTTCCTGGCGATGAAGGGTTCAAAAGTAACTGCTACATGTGCCGCAAATACCCTTACAATAATTCAACAATGTTACATTATCAACCCGTTAGCCCCCGGCATGCTTAGTCTAATAAGTCAAGAGAATTGCAGAACACAGGTTAACGAGATCCGACACACCCCTCGTCAACCATTCCCAGGAATTTAAACGCAGAATCGGGAGATTACGGGGGTGGCGGAGACACTGAATTGCAAGGACTTCTACTCCCGTCTCCTCTCTCAATTCTCCCCGCCTCTCCACCCGACCACTAAATTCAAGAAACGTTGGTAAACGCACGCAACTGATAAGTTAAGCCAAGAATGTAGAATTAACCAAGTGCACGTACCCATCCAATCCATTAACACTCTAAGAGCGAGAAACGGTTAGCAGGCGTCCAACCCCATCTGGACTATCACAGTTTAGGAAAATCTTGATCCAAGAGCTCTCCCACCGAATTCATATAGTACATACAAACAAAAGAGCTGGCCAGGGGCCTGGGCGCTCCTAAATCCTTCCTCCTCCCGGAGAAATTATCGCGCGAATTGGGCGACGGCGGGGTATATTCCAACCGACATTACTCGGGTAATGTTTTCTCATTTCTGGCGATATACCCGCCTATGCAATCGACACCCACCCACCCACCCACTCGTGCGACCAGTGTTCGCAACAGGGTCGTCGGCGCCTTCAGAGGGGGGACGGGAGTGGGTCCTGGCTCCCTTATCCGTCCGGTCGTTGGTGGGGCTTTTGGCCATGTCATTTAGCTGAAGAACAGAGGGCAAGACTATTGATCCCCTCAATATCTTGGAATGCACGTCTCCACGGGGCGCATAATCTTTCAGAGAAACCTGCCGAACCTGTATGTAACTGGTAGGGGGGGCCGCCCCTTATAACACTAACTTCGATTTCGACATTTCCAAGCTTGAGCTCATTGAAACGAGTGATTTTACATGATGGCTAGTATTTATACAGTAGATCTTCTCAGTATCTTTTCCTGTCATGAAAAAGCCACAAACAACACTCTTAACTCGAATGGGAAAATGACACACTAGTTACTGGTATCATACATAGGGTAGACGCCCCTTGGAAGGAAAATGATGAAAATAATAATAATGGAAAACTCCTGCTACCGAACAACCAACCCCTCATCCGCATTCAAGTATCCCTCGCCTCTGGCAACCTATGCTTCAACAAGTCACTGGGCATCGCTGCTAACCCTGTAGATGCCCTTCTTCCACGGTCCCTCCTAGTCTCCTGTAGAAACTGGTATCATAGCCCACAGAGGTTCATTTATTGTCCAGCCAATGCTACAGTGAGATGATGCCCCACTTTGTGCAGGGATCGCCCTTCTTAACACTGTGCTCCTCGAGAATTATAGGAATAAGTTTGATGGACTGTAAATTGTGGTCTAATCCAGCCTTGGTTTATTAGTCCTAGGATTATGGGGGAAAGAAAAAGAGAGAAAGAAAACAGGCTGGTGGTACGGAAAGGAAAGCAATCGCAGGCGTTTTCTTGCTCAACATGAAAAACTCGGGACAGGCACACTCTGTATGGCTCTCTAGTACCATACTAGCTCCTATCCGTACGCGGATACATCACACAATACCGAAGGGAAAGCCCCGGGGATTATTCCCCTCTCTCTCACCACCACCGCTCCCGATAACAATCAGCGGATGACCCCAACATTTCTCGAACCTCCAAGAGACCTTAGAACAGCTTCTCAACAGCTTATTGACTATAGCCCGGACTATTCTAGCACGGTTTCTTGGAAACCCGCCCGGGGCCACCGGACCCGGAGAGGTCTTTTCGAGCGCTGATAGGAGGATGCAGTGATCGAAAGACCTGTTGGTATTTCCACCATAATACTGACCCTGGAGGAGGCTGAACATCGGGAATGTATTTATTTGACTATACTGGCTATAGAAGGAGGGAGAAAGTCAGAACAAACTACCTCAATTTCAATAGTCTAACTTTAACCTATTTACCTCCACGAGGCAATGACCCCCATCCGAGAATACTTACTAGTTCCCGTCCCGGTCAGTTTTTTCTCCACGCTCCACTTCCCCCCCCCCAACCTTGGGAACCCAATTCCTAATTTTACATAACTCTTATAACACCGCCTAGGCAATGACCTACGAGCACACCGTTAGGGCCCAAGTAGACTCGGTTTCCCAGGTTTTCGAGCTCCGCCCTCCTCAAGGCCATTCGTTGGTTCGTCAAGACGGAATTAAAAAAAACAGGATCACGCCCCAAGTGGGACGAGGGTAGGATGGTGAGGGCGGAGGGGGAACGGCCTCCTGGCACAAAGTCAGGGTTTGGCTACTTGGCTGTCCCCACCCTTCCCCCCTCTGAACATGTTCTAACCCCGGATAAGAGCGTGTCACGGCTTGGAAGGAGCACGTGAATATTTCCGGTGCTGGTTGTTAGTTCGCTTCTGGAGAGTCCTCCTAGCCATGAGGATTGGCGCACTGTGTAGGCTACTACCTGATTTTTATAGCGTCCCCTAGTAGATTCTCCGTCTTAGATCTTAGTTGATCTAACCGATAGGTATATCCTGCGCTAGGCTTTGAGGAAGAATACCGAAGCAAATTTGACGGCAGTCTCAAAGCCACAGGGAAATATGGGTAGTAACCACACTCCCAAGGCTATATAGGTCGGTAGTCAGAATTGATGCACCTAAAATACGCCCACCCAGTACCGGTATCGCCCCCGTAACTACCGATGCACCTCTACCTGTGCCAGATTGCACACCGCCGTGCACGAACATGTCGTAGCACCGGTAATTGGATGCACCATCTAGACATTATACGCCCTGAATAAGTCTGAGGGGGTGTTTCGGGAGACTTGAGCAGGGGAGAGTAGATTGTAGCCACCGCCATCGACACTGCATTCGCCCTGTATACTTATACAAAAATCCCATACCACTATGCTATTCTCGGATAGGCCCACCCGAGGGTTACTACGCTCAATAAGGCACAATCTAACTTTGAGGAGGACTGCACTTGGCGGATCACTTTTGAGGGGCCTCTTTTACTGCCGAGTGATGGACCATGATTAAATTGATTTATCCAATTCCACGCAAACTCCGGAAGTCATAATAACCCCAACAACTACCCACAGTCGATCAGCCCGAGTAGCGAAATAAAGAAGAAATAATAAAAATTTATAACTTCTGGGGCCAAAACACGTCTTCGAAATTCTTACTCCACCCCAAATCGTATACATTATCTATTTCGCTTAGGGACTCGACTCTACGCCACAAAAAGCCGCGAGGTAAGTCTATCGCGTTCTCAGGGTCCCGGCGGTAGAACAGCTGAGTTGTACGTTTCGGCCAGTGCCGGCAGAGTTCATCTTCGTCGTACTCACTATCTTCGGCACATGGTGGGTCCTCTTCTGGCTCCGCTATTAGGATGTCGCCATTTTTGATATCGTCTTGCCAATCGGACCATTTCATAGTTTCGTTAGTGGTTGTGCCGGCCCATATTAGGTAGCTAGTTGAGGTTAGCAGGGACGCGCAGGGAGGGCAAGGGGGAGAAACAGATGGTATATTGTGAAGGCGTAACTAAGGATTCCGGTTAGTGACGCCAGGAGGAATACTGCGCCAATGTAAATTTCCTCGACTATAATGATCCCCAGGAGGTGCATGTATATTGACCAGGGAAGACTTGACAACGGTACATTAGAAGGTATGACTGCTCGGTGCATGAACACGTTTTGAAGAATATCAAAGGTGAGATAAACGCCATATGTCAGAAGGACATCAGTTGCTCCCAAAAAGAAAATAAAGTGTCGTATGTTGAGTTGTCCGACACAGTTGTTGATCCACACCTACCGCTAGTTAGCTATCAGCAGACAATTTGACAGCGGATAACTACGCAGTGATGATCGTGCTTAGCTATACAATGTTTGCCTGCACGGGGTTAGAACGGGAAATGCTATGATTTGAAGGGTACAAACATGTTGAGCAATGTTTCGATCTCGCGGGTTTCCGGAGGTGGCAGGTCCTACAAATCACCCCTGGACGGAAATTCACATGGTCGTATGGATAGGACCGTAACGCGCGTTCGTGGTTTTCGGGAGTCACGAAGCCAGGATCGGAGTTGGCAGCATGGTACATGGTAATGTACGGTAGTATACCGACAACGGGGACAAAAATCCTGAATGATGTTAGATTCCAAGCGCTCAGGGACGGAAGGGAGGAATAACTTGTGAATCAGCGGGAGGTATTGCCAGCCATCTTTGACAAACATGTACAATCCCCCCGACACAAGAGTGAGGTAGAATGCCTACAAAGTGCCCCTATCAGACTCTGACCATTACAAACATATAGACAAAAGTTTGATAAGTTTCTCACCATTACCACGGGGTGTTTTTCGTGCATCAGGTATTTGCCGACCCCAGAGACTAAAGGGCCAATGTAACCACCCGTAAATCTTCTATCGAGATAGGAAAGCCATCTCGGGAGGATGCCCCACATGAATCGGTTTATCCAACCTATGGGAGTGGACCTTGGCGCGCCAACCAGGGTTAGAAACCAATCCACCCATGAAAGCAGACTATTGGTACGGCACAGGATCGTGTTCGAGAAAGGAATGCTGTGGAAAAAGGGCAGGGTCGGAAAAGAGAAAAAGAAAAACCACGGGTCCAGAACGACCGGTACCCAACCGCACAAAGAACGAACAATGGAGCAAAAACTCGGGGTAGGGATGTCACCTCAATCTCGGAACGTGCCCAAAGAGTGCAATAAAAGTGAAGAAGGATATCCCCAATATCACCAACCCGACCTGCCGGACTATACCCATCTCCGGAGAAATAGTGTTTTAGGATTCAAATATTTGTGTAAGCGCCACACCGCTGCACCCGCCTTTAACTCAGAGTTCTCGAAAGGTGGGCAACTGGAGGGAACAGAACAAGGTGTCGGTATGGGAGACAGGGAGGGTACGGTAGCCGGAGAGCCGAGAAGCTCGCAAGAACCAGTGTCAATCTGTCCTTTATTAAGGGGCTGCGGCTTAATGATAATTGGGCCCACTCCAACGTGTGGTAAGGCGGAGTTTGCGTACCGATGAGGTACCTTATATGCCGTAAACACTTCTACACTCTCGCTCCTCACGCCGCAGAAAGCAAGAAATCCCCGAGAAGGGGGTCAGGATGAGGGTAGAAAGCACAAAGGATGAAAGTTCGCCTGCAATAGCATTAGCACTTGGACAAGCTCCGCTGTACTGGAAGAGGAAAGGTGAAGGTGAGGCGAGTCAGTTCTTTCTGGCGATGGGGTTTACAAGGGACGAAGGGCAAAAAGGAGAGATACGCAACTTTTCTGGCTCCGATGTGGACACACTGCAACCGTTCATGTCGCCTGACGTCGATGTGGAGCCTCATCCCGCCTCATCTGAAGGGACTCGGTAGAAACTCGTGTTGATTACTTAGATTATTATTAACAGGATAAAAACTGGGAGATCAACATGCGTAAGGTACCAGTAATCGTGCCCCATGCCCGTACGAGTACGGTAGTCTAATCTCCAAAGGTGGTGGCGTCCAGATCCATTATGAACGCCACACACCCATTTGTTAACTCGAGATGGTTCTCCCCAAACCCTAAGCGAACCGAGTGACGGTGTGACACTCCAGCCACATCAAGTCGCGTCATCCCACACATCAGTCTATCAACGCGTCCCAAACCCCGACTTCCCCTCTACATCCACTCATCGCTCGCCCCCCACCTACCGGTACCATCGACAGAACCCTTCAACACCCGCGAACGACTCGATGGCCACAATACAGGAGGGAAATCTTTCCGCCCCTCTGCACGGTAGTCTCTTTGAGGGCACCAAGTTCTGGCTCTCGTTACTAGTTCCCGCTCGCCAAAGCTACAAAAACCTCATCCATGTGTGAATACCGTCCCCACGCATATTCCTTGCACCCTTATATTAACCAGCCTGCGTTGCGAAATCTAGGCGAATGGCGGTGTTGTTGTCACCAGCGAAAAGGATGCCGAAATTTGTCTGGTTGACCATTTAAAAAAAGAGATGCCACAGAACGAAAAATTGTTCGTGTCATCTTAACCGTAGCCCTAAAAAAATTGGGGAAAATCGACTAATGTAAGCGCGTCCTAGATATTCTTTCAAATACATTGACGCCTGTCTCAAGGAACGCAAGCTTGTCAATTTGGAAGACCACCGAGTCGTTGCGCAGGAAAAGAGGGTTCCGTCCGGCTCATTATCCCAACCAAAGATTGCAAAGCCCGGAAAATCTGGGTAGGATATTAGAAACCATTTGTCTGCATACCCGATTTTTAACATTTATTCCCAGACGGACTCCCTTCACCCAGGAAGATGACGATATCCTCCTCCGAGCCATCAGTGTGCCAGGCGTCAAGCTGGCCGGCAATGCCATATACTATAAGTTAGCCGACGAAGTATGCCCTTGGTTCGATATTTATGCTAGCCTTTTGCCTTGCTCACGCTTCACTCTAGTATCCACACCATACCATGCACAGCTGGCGCGGCCGGTGGGTGGACCACCTCTCTAAAATCATGCCCAATGGACCTGTGCTCCAAGAATCATCCGAGCCGAAGCCCGAGCCCGAGTCACCTCCCATGACTCGAGAATCGCTGAAAGCAATCCCTGCCAAAGAGGAGGACGACACCGATGGTGATAGCGAGAGCGACAGTGAACTCTTTAGTAGCTTTACCGCTGCTGATAAGAAATTGCTGATGAATAAGGCGGAGGAGATCAATTTATCGGATCAACCGATGAAGATATTCAAGTCGCTAAGCCGGGAGGTATTTTTATTAACCTTTTCGATCTAATACCATTGCTTAGGCTCGATATTGTGAACTAATGATTTTTTTCCCTAGCATCCCACCCATACCCGGCAGGAGTGGAGCGCCTGCTTTTACGGCGTTATCCTTCCTGAGCTCCGGAAGTTGGACAATAAGTCGAGAGCGCCCCAAGAGGAGCGAGGGACCGCTGCGTCTTTCCGTAGCTCCAAGAGCTTACAGTTACAAAGCCCGATACAGCTGGAATCTCGTTCAAGTGAACCATCGAAGAAGGATGTGAAGCCACGATACCCAGGTCCTGAGAAGGATGCAGGGTCGCCTGTCACTAGTTCTACACCTGCAAGGCGAAGATTACCAGGTAATCATGGTCTCACTGCCCCCGTCATGCTTGAGCCTGAGCGGGTGGCCGCAAAACTGCCCCAATGGAGAGTAGTTATTAATTCGGCTACTTCCCAATTAGCTACATCGGGGGAAACCGCTCTGTCAGCTAAGCCCCAAACACCTAAAAACCAAACCCCTCCCCAGAAACGCAAGCATGCCGACGATGGGCAAACGCCCGGAGTCAATCAAACTGCTAAGAGGCAGAGGAAGGGATACGCTTCCATATCAGAAGTACCATCTACCCCTGATCCGTCACCTCGGCATAGACGTCAGCCGTCAATTGAATTGGGTGAGCCCGTTCCAACAAGTGCGGAGAAGTCTGTAGAAGGCGTTTCTGTGTCAACCTCGAAAGCTTTGGTCGAGGTGGTCAAAACTCCTGTCAAAAAGGCCGCGGGAAAGCCCACAAAAGCGGGCCAAATCGTCAAAATATCCGAAACTCCGGCCAAGTCACCCAAGGGACCAACCCCAGACAAAAAGCCACCTTCCAAGCCGACGCCACCCAAGTCCACTCTAGCCAAGTCTCCCAAGACCAGGAAGTCAAGACTCTCCTACGAGAATATGAGCACTCAGGCCATCTTCAACGCCGAGATTGACCAAGAAGCATTTTCAACGGAGATGAATTTTGGTTTTCCATGGCTAGAAGATGATGAGCAAGTGCCCAGCAAGCCCGCAAAGTCCACCGCCCTTGCCCGCGTCGATACCCCCGGGTCCAAGGCCTCCGGAGCAAAAGTGCCGGAATCTGCGAGTAAAACCGCCACGGAAACAGACAAGGCTGGGATCGAGGAGATGCATCGCTACCTTGACTACTGCGAAAAGAAATTCGGCCTCCCGGGATCCGAAGTGATCCAAGCCGTCGAACGCACCTCCGGTGTCAAAGCCAACATAGAAATCCTTCTCAAGGCGATCTCAAAAGGTGAAGAACCGGCGGATATTCCAGGCATTTGGGACAAAGGGGATGATGAAGTCCTCATGGGTTCCGATAGCCGAAGGATGAAGGAGTTGTCGGACCGGAAGGGGGACGCGGAGATTATGAGACGGATGAATTTCCTGAATTTGTGGAATTTGGCTTAGTTACTTTTTTTTCTTTTCTTTTTTCTTCAGGCTTCGCGCTTGTCTTTTCAACATTATAACTATCTTCATGTTCTATTCTTTTTTTTTCCCTTTCCTTTTTTTTGCTTTCTTCTGTTACAAATTCTTCTTCTGGCTGGAGTTTGGTGATGATGCTTTGGGCACAAAAAATAATTTTTGATGTCATGATATCCCTACTTTTCACACCATTTCATATTCATTTTCTTTCTTGCGGGAGCTCTTTCTCGGAATGCTGTTGCTCTCCCAATGCACAACCAAAGCACTACCGTATCACTGGGCTATTAAGGTCGAGTCAAGACCTGACTTGCCTCCTCGTGCCGAATATACTGTACTTGCGTATTTTATACTGTACTCGTACTGTACAATATCCTTATCCTCAACTATCATGATACATAAACACCTATGACATGGCACTACAACACAATAGAGCAATAAAACATGAGCAATCCCGCATCGTATGATACCTGTACCCTACAGTGCCTGAGTACAACAAGGTGGTTTCCAACTCCCCAGGCCACGCAATCGATTTTTCTCTTCCCTCCGGTCACCATGTCTTTGACAGGTGGTGTGCACGACAAAATGGGTCTGGATTTTCCAATGCTAAAAATAAGTGTACGAGTAGTACCAGCTTGTATTATATCCCTCCGCCCGCATTGACGGAGACACGGTCTAGCTCGCCTTTTACCTAAAATGGTACTAACATCACCTAATCCGAACAACCCTCCAACACCTCCTCCCGAGTCAGAAGCGTTTATTGGAAGGGTCATGATCAGAACACCTCGACCAAGGCTTGACGCCCCACCGGCCCTAGTGGGTGGCACAAATTCTCCTCCGCTGAAGGGGCAGAGTTTACGAGTATGAGGGTCTAACTCTTCTGTGGAAAACAGCGTATGCCGCCATCCGTATGGTCTACCGGTAGCTCCAATACGGCAGTTAAGTTACTGTAACTTATAATAGGCCTCTACACTCGTTCCACACTTCTAACGGACCATACCCCCTTTGGTGGAAAAGAACCGGTGCCACGAGCTTGGACAAATGGGGTGCTAAATCTTGGCTAAGAAGCACGAATGATAGCATATCATAGGATTATAGATTCTCAAGTGTGCATGGAACAACACTTTATCCGAACAATCTGGTTCGTCAGTTTGATCGCTTGATAATCACAAGTGCCCTTTTCTTTGACCACCACCACCCTACAGTTATTTTCATGGGGCCGTGCACAGATTTACACTTTGGTATGATGGTGCTTACTTGCACAGGAGGGAAGCGGAGGGAAGCGGAGGGAAGCGGAGCGAGGAGGAGTGGAGGGGGGGGAGGAAGCTGAGGGTGTCCCACGATAGGATTTAAATTTAATAGGTGGTGTAGTGCACTCGAGTAGCGAGTGGTTCAGAGCTGCTGTACCGTACTCGTACCATAAGTTAGGTGCAAGATTTATGGTTGGCTTTCAGCTCGTGGGAAGAGGAAGGATGCGGTAGCCGTCGGGTTAAGGTTGTGAGATTTTGGATGTTGCCATACATAGACTATGTGATTTGATTTGTAGGGAAGGGGGTGGATCTAGGTGTAGTTTGGTACAATGGGGAGCTCTGCAGTTGCATATTATCATTGTACAGTACAGTATTTTACCACTCGAGTATCATACGCAAGTACCAGTAATGTTTAATTTGAATCCTCAGTATTCAGCACCCGAATACGATACGATGGCCGTGCAATATAAGTAATCCTGCCCAGACCGAGGCATTGCCCCTCGCAGCGTAGGGATGCAGTATTTGTTGCACTCGAGTGACCGCCGCACTTTTATGATACTCACTACCTGGTTCATGCACAGTGCCACGCTCCATACGAAACCTGGCTTATCATCCTTTTCAGCTATCATGCTATCCAAGTTTTCGCCAAGAAGGGCGGTGTTTATGCTTGGACCAAGTTTGGGTATCCGAACTCAGCGCCGTTTGACGAACCGAAACCATACTATGGAATTGACGCCGAACACATCCTGGCAAAGCGCTCGAGTATGGTTGGGGGGAAACCGTTCCTAGAGCTACCTGCCTTGCCCAGGTTTTACCTTTCTTCACCTCCATCAACTCTACTCGTATTTCTTGATTGAGCGAGAATTGGGAAAGGAAATGGCTCTTGCATTTATAATACTAGAACCATGCGATGCTCCCAGGTAAAACAAGGACTGTTTTAGGCGTCTAAACTATGTGGCTGTGCGCTGCGTGTGGAAATCGCCCATCAAGAAGGGTCCGGCTTTTGGCATCGTGACAGAATACGGTATCTCCACGTAAACGGTACACGACTGCAGTTTATTGGATAGCTGAAACCTACCGGCTTGGTTACAAATCGATGCCTACAAAGGCCATGTTTCTCACCTAATACTGTACCCTTACTCGGTCGAAAGCAAGGCCCACAGAAATAAGGAAGAGTAACTTACTTGTACTCGTACTTGCCCATCCCACAAGTATCCCGAAACCCGGCTATAATGTAGGCCTCTCAATCGCCAAGATTTCTTGATACCATACCTTTGGAGCGGCCAAGTATATCGGGCATGACAACCCTGCGGCGCGTGGTGCTCCTCAATGGCCCAATTTATTTTATGACGAGGGTGTATTCATCGCTAACCCTATTGGACGATTTGGCTGTTAGAAGAGCTGAATTTCAGCTCAAAGCAATTCCGTTCTTGGCGAAAAACCGGATAATATCACCGACCATAATACCAGTACCGTACTCATAGTGCCGCCTCCCGTAGGCGGGAGCTAGTCCCAATGCCTGCCCGTCGGCCAATCCTAGCCCGCATTGCCGTAACTAACTTAGAAACCGAATCGAAAGTGACAGGTGCGCTGCAGGGTGAGACCCATCATAGCCATCCATGGCCTGGGCCCCTAGAAGGGTGGTCTGGTTACTTGTAGATTAGTTTGGTTATAGATAGTGCGAGTACAGGTACAGCAGTCGTACCAGAGATGCATTCTACAAGACAGGGGTAGCTAACCAGCAGAATCCCCCCCCCGTCTTGGACGAAAACATCTCGCTTGGTACTGTACAGTAAGAATCCTTAGAATTCGCCATCTCCGTGGGTGCAGGTATCGGATGTCCCTACAAATCACTACGTCAGCCCATGATAGGATTACAAGTACCGGTAGTCGGGCAAGTTAACGGAATTGAGAAATCGAGTTAGTGAGATCCAACACAGTCAGGGTGCTTAGGCTATACCGTGTCTAGAGGGCACTAATCCTCCTCAGGAGCGATTGTCTCGTGGCCACGAGATTAGCGAGTGAACTGGGGTACATTAGCGGATTCTGGAGATTTTTTACCGTACAAGTATTATACTTTGTCCCACGCGATGGGCACAGGTAGGGCTGCCCAAGAACAACGGTTAAAGATACACGGTACTGATACGGTAACAATCCTGTCCGTACGGTATCTGCACGCTACACCAAATATAGCCTCCCTGCCGTCCAGTACGGGTATAATTCAGTACCGTACAGTACTTGTATCTCCATCGTGTATTCGAAGCCAGATGTTAGCAGTATGGACGCTAGTCCTAATATATCATCCCAATGAAGGTATGAAAATAGCTATTTAAGTCAGGATCCAATACGAAATTTCTCGGTCACCTACTCATGTAGCCAGATTGAAAGTCAACCCTGTCCCTTTTTTCTGGTGACCTACCAAAAAAAATAAAAATAAAAGGCGACTTCAATCAGGCAACATGAATGTATTACAATGTCATGATATTGTGATTCTATTTTAGTAATACTTCTACTAGCCCTAAAACACCCTTTATAGATACTCAATTCCGAATACACCATGAGAACATAGGTACTGTACCTCATTCCCGGAACAAGCACCACGACTACAGAATTCTTGGTATGGTATCACACTTGTACCAAAGCTCACCTCCCGGGGTGGTACAGTACGTCGGGAACACGGGTACGCACAAGTGGTCCTCAGAATACCCAGCTTCCAACCACGCTCTGTCCGCGTGGATTATGCTGATGATTATCGCGGTAACCTTGCATGCAATGAACCTTACTAAGACGCGGCGTATTTCGCAATCCCGCCCCGTACATTCTTACCTTATCCCCCAACATATCATTCTCCCGGCATGACTTTACAAACTGTAAACTGCACTTTCCATCTCTCTTGATTCCCCCTCGCCCCTCCTCCCCCCCGCCGTTGTTTTACTACTCGAGTACACATTCTCTCATTGGCTAGCAAGTCAGACTACCTGGCCTAACCTTCCCACATACACTCCTGGGCATTAACTCCTCGTGCGACTCAGCCGTACGAAGTGGGGGGAAGAACCAAAAGGACTTTGCTTGCTTGCCCGCCTGCTAGCGGGGAAATTTCCTAACTCAACGTGGAAATAAGGTGTTTGTTTTCTGCACCTGCCACGGTGTCAATCGCTCAAACTCAACTCAGCTCTCCAACGGTTGGCGGGAGGAGGGGTGGGGGGTTTTTGCTTTTTCTGTGATATTGTGGTAACTTGTTTCGATCTTTCAGCTCTTAGGAGAATGGTTAAATTTACTGTAGGTGCAGCCTGAGGACGTGGGCGGGGTTGGAGCCCTTTCGTTTTCTCAATTGATTCAGGATTTATAACTTCCGCGCTTCCTGGTCTCCCTCCTCTCCTCCATTAATCCATTCATTCTGGTGCAACTGCCGGTTGAAAAGAAAAAAAAAATACATTATGGCGTTCAGAAAACAACCCCCTCAATGGCCAAAGGGCTGGCTGATAACTCTCCGCCTAATACAACTCATCTCGGCGGTGGTGGTCGTCGGGATCACCGGGTTTTTCACATACCACTTGATGAGGGAAGATCTAGGCATTCCACGCGAACTCGTCGTTCTAGACGTGATAGTATGATGACCTCCCCCTACCCCCATCTCCATCTCCATCTCCATCCCCATACACGCTAACCAACCCTGTCCCCATAGGGTTCCATTACAATGTTAAACGTCCTCGTATCCTTCATCCTCCTCTGCTGCCGCTCCCTCCCGACGATGCTGGTCCTGATACCCGACATCCTCATCTCCATACTCTGGGCTTTCGTGTTCGGCTACCTGGCACGCGCCTTGGGGAGCACAACGGTGACAGAGTGTTCGAGCGAAAACTTTGGAGACTACACCGTCGTCTGCCACCTTTACAAGGTCCTCCTCGCCTTCTCGGCGCTGGGTTGGATAATGCATGTGGCCTCTTTTTGGCTCGCGTACAGTGTCAGGAGGAAATCCAGACATGAGTATACCCCCGCCGGCGACGGTGCGGGGATCGGACTTATGGGGATGGGCGGGAATTCTGGGTATAAGCCCGTTGGTGGGGGAGGGTCCGAGGCGGGGAAGGTGTCGACTGCGTATAAACCGGAGGCGGGAGGTAGTTCGTATTCTAGCGGGGGGATGGGCACGAACCTGTTTCTTGGCTTATGACACGATGTCACGGTTGGGGTCACGACAATTCTTTCTTTCTTTCTTTCTTTCCATCATTGCTGTCGACTGTATTTAACCAACCCGGGGGTTCCGCGGTAGGAACCGGGAAAAGTCGGAAAAAAGAAAAAAAATCAAGAGTGTATAAACAAAAACCAAATGGAGCATCAACGTTAGTTAACCGGACCGTGATACGATGCGGGTATGTATAATACCCACCGCAACCAGAAATCCATAAAACGAGGACAGACATACAATCACCGTACGGTTTCAGTTTCGGTATCATGCGCCCACGGTAGTCTAGTTAACATTTGCGATCGTGTAACCATAGTGTTGAGGGAGATCGAGAGAACGAGATTCCCCACCGACCGATTAACAATTACCACAACTATATAATAATATTATTATACTACCGATTACCTATTACTTCCATCATGGTCAAAGGCCCGCCTGCCGCCCGCCCGAGGTAAGGCAGGAAACGGATTGGAAGGGGGAACACCCGTGAACAAACCGGCGAACCAACGAAATAGAAAATAAAAAACAGAAAATAGGAAAAAAAACGAATGAAGAGGAAAGAAAAGACTGCACGACTTCCAGCACTTGACCAGTAATTTCTCTACAAAGAAAAGAAAGGGGAGGAGAAAAAAAAGAAAAGAAAAAAAAGAGGTCAACACCCTGGGGGGTTTTTTTTTTCTAATCCGTGACTATGCTCATGACGGTGATGATGGTGACGAGATGTGGAGGAAGAAAAGAGCGACAAAAGCGCCCCGGCACCAATGTTTTTCCCTCCCTTTCGAAAAAATAAATAGATAAAATGAAATGAAAAATATGAATGTACAAAGATTCAATGTTGTATGTGTCTGTCCGTCTGGATGCATGTGTGTATGCATGTGTGCGATGGTGTAATAAGTATGAAACTAAATGATATGATACAAATCCCCCATCAAACATTGGTTTATGTATGATACCTATCTATTTATCCTGCGCCTATCCACTTCCGTCCGCGTCCGGCCGGGGGAGGGCAGGACAGCGAGGTCTCGATCCGCTCATCGAAAGTAGTAATCGTAATAGCTCATTAGACTCCAATTCGAAGATCTCGCCGCTGCGCGCTTATCCTTCTCTCTTTCTACCGCCTCGTACGATGGTGGTGGGGGTGACTGACTCAAATCCGTGGATAACGGAGAGCCGGCCACCCCAAATTCCTATAAGGCGTGCGTTTCAAAGTTTGCTCCCGCGGGTGTGTGCACTCGCGGGGCGTAGGGCGCACACGGCTGGCTCGGGAACGGGAAGTCGACGGAATATGATGGGTTCCGGGGCGTCAAGAGCGCGGTTGGTAACGGCGATATTGGCGGCGGTGGCGACAGTGGGATTTGTCTGGCCTGCGGCCCTGACGGTGGGGATGGTCCGGGAGGGACCAATGGTGGACCGAGTCGCGGTGGGGGGTTCCGAAGCAGTGGTGGAGCAGTGGGCATCAGTGGTGGTGGTGGTGGTGGTGGTGGGGAGCGGTTATGCATCGAGAATACCTCCGAAGCTCGAGCGCCATCCCCGAAGGATGAGGTTGAAGACATACGTCTGTGGTGAGCTCTTATGATCGGGGTTTCGGCCTCGAGGTGTGAACGCCTGTCTCGGAAGGACTTGGGATTGTAGTATCCTGCTTTCTTCCTATCCCTACGGATCCTAGCCCAGACAACAGCTATAACTGTTATTATTATAATTCCGGCGACGCCAGCGCCGGATGCGGCAAATATTAGACCGAGGTCGGGCAACTTTTTGAGGTTGAACCTGCCACCGCCGCCACCACCGCCTAGGATTCCGCCTGCGGAGGATTCTGTCGGTTCGGTGGTCCCGGTGGACCTAGATTCGACATCTGATGTTTCTTTTGTGGCAGAGGCGGAGATGGAGGCAGGAGCAATAGTAGATGCACTTTCCTTGGCAGCGGTCGTAATGTGAACTTCGGAACTCGTCTTAGCACCCGCTGCCGTATCGCCAAACGTCGATCCAGGAACAGTCATGTCAAACGGTGGACTATACTCAAACTTTCCAGTTGCGTCGTCTATAATCTTGAGCCCATACTTGTTACCGGCACCCATGGTTGCCGAATCTTCAAAAGTCTTTGGAACATTCCAAACAAAAGATCCCGAATTGGAAATTTTGGCTAAGACCTGTCAGCCTCCACATCGCCAAAAGGGGGTCCATTCCAGTCAACAATTTCACTGACCCACGATAGGACCAAGATCATTCAGATTATCCGGGGGACCCTTCAATGCATGTATCGTGACGGTTCCCGGGGTGCTTGGCTGGGAAGAAGATCAGTAAGCCAATTCAAGGGGGGTAGGAGCAGATTGGGGAGACGACAATCTACATACCTGCCATGTTATCGTCACCGGGCTCCCCGCATTTACATTCCCGCCCAGGGGGTAGCTAATCGGATTCAAACCACTCGGCTTATCATCATCCGCCGCCTCAACCTCAACGCCGATTGAAAAGACAGCAGTCACTGCCAGGAGAAAGGACACAGTCCCGAGCTTCATGCTCGGGGTCTCAATTGATTAATTGGTCAACGAATGAGCGAGCGAGACAAGTGCAAAGGAATGAACCAATCCCAGCCAGGAAATGGGGTTCAGGGAAGAAACAAAGAGCGAAACCAATGAACGATCGTGAGAAATGCATGCGTTGAACGCTTTCTGGAAGAGAAAAGTCGTTCGTTTCCTCCCCCAATTAACGAAGCACGCGTTTCGTCCCAATCGTTCTGCGGGGACACGATAAAAGAATCAAAAGAGTGAAGAAGATGTCGATGATGAGGGCGACATCTCGTTCTGTGCTCGAAAGGGGACGCGGTGGGCTGTCTCTCTCTCAGCGCAATGACCTCAGATTTGATGGAGGGAAAAAAAGAAAGGGTCCAAACTCGAAACGGTGCGGGTCAATACCGTACCGGTACAAGTACTCAATCGAGGTATCATAAGGTGTGCACGGCGCGAAAGCTGCAGTGATTTGGCGTAAGCCCTGGTGGTGGTCACCAGTGATGGCATTCCCAATGTCACTCTGCCGGTATCCTAGTGGCACGCCTCACTATTGCTAACGAGTGCTACTCGAGTACTTGCACGGCAACCGATCCAATCGAGGATCGCGCCCTAACCTGCCCCCCACATATGCAATACCGGTAACTCCCGTGCCCCCAGAGGTGGTTAAGGCCGTTATTCACACCCCCTTTTGCCTGGATCACCATAAAGATGAACTCGATTGATCTTCTTCCCCTGTCGATCTCGTGGATGAACTCCCCCTGCAAGAAAGAGAGGGCGCTGATTCATGGTCCTTCATTTGATTGAATACCGGTATTGATACCAGGGACACTGGCATAAATTCTTGATATCTCGCCGGTGGAATACCGGTACCGTGTTAAGAGGTGATCTGTTGCCCTATGCGTGATGGCTGGGGACCATGGGGGACGGCCGGGGCTACTAATAAGACGGTAGTCTAGAGTCCCCTGCAGTCCGTCTGGTCCAACCACCCCTGGTTGTAAGTGTAGTACGAGTAAAGGAATGGATTACCGGTATGTTACGCGAAAATCAATTTCCCCCGCAATTCGGAAGGCAGAAGGGCCAAAGGGGAAATCAAAAAAGATTAGGTATAGCGCGTCGAATAGTGGTCGTGATTGTTATTCAGTGAATATGGGAGGGGGAAGAGAGTTTAATAAAAATTAGAAGGACCGGAGAGACTGTAGATATGGGGAAGAGCACCGGTAGGGGATGAGTTTAAGTTCCCTAGTGGAATAACCTACCTTATGCATCTAGCGGGTGCAAGAGACCACCCTTAGCCCCGCCACCAACTTGAAAACCACTTTTCAGAGTAACGCCGTCAAATGCATAAAGAGGGTTAGGCCCTGTTTGGCGTGTTAGAAAAGCTGAGCTTTTCACACTTACATACTCGTATTCTCAGCCTTTTCTGTTGAATTAAACCAAAATTCTGGGGGGGGGGGTGTTTGGTAGGTATCATACATACCACACAACATTACCATTATAATAATTATTATAGTGTTTTCCTTCTCAGAATTTTTCAGTGCTGTGCCGGTATTTCATGTAAACCTATCAGCCTTAGGGTAATATCCTCTTTTTCATGCAATCTCATATACCGGTACTGGTATGCCCTAAACGCTAGTCACATATCTAGGAGAAAATAAAATAAAATAAACCCCGGACCTTCCAAACACCAGCATTTCCATAAACGCGAAATGTTGAGGCTGTTCGGAGTGCGCAGTTCATCAATTCAAAATCCATTTTGGAACTGCTTCCATGCCAAGCGACCGATTCAATATACCCTTAACCACGCATTAACAACTGTTAACTTGCTTCTATAACTCTTCATGTCGGCCCAAAACGCGCTTTGAATCGACGAACTGCTCCTAAGCTTTTTTATTCCATCGTGGAAAATGCTCTGTTTTCGACAAAAGCTGAATCTTTTTGTTTTGTGTTGTGCCAAACAGAGCCTTAAACGCCATTCCTAGCAGCCAACATCCTGCTCTGCTCCTTATTATTTAACTCCAGCTAGATCTGAGTCGTTGGAATTTTGGACCATGGTGTCTCAAACTCCATCTCATCGAGTTTTTCCAACAATTTTTCTCCAACGGAGCGGTCGTGGGTGAGAACTTTCATTATAACCCGGCCAATGTGTTAGTATGATGTAGTAAACATCTACCGATGACATATCGTAGCTATCCACCCCCCCCCCCCCCAAGCCATCTGATCCAAGAATGTGTCACGAATTGCTGTTTCAAAAACCCCCTTGAGCTCATACTTTACTTGATACTTTAATCCGTCCCTTAGCCGTTTCAATTGTTCCACCGTCATGATACTAGGAGACTTGGTAATACTGTAATTATTTTTGCGAATATGAACTACTCAGTCACATCATTGCGAACACTACCTGTTTTGGATTTGGGACTTTGGTAGACGAATGATCCGTATGGCCGGTCGTCCCACCAGTCGAATACCTCCATAGAGCCACATTGTAAGTATCCGTGCCTTGACTTCAAGATTGTGGCGATATACCGCATAAGCCTACCTGGACACCACTCAGTTCAACAAGTCTGAGGTGAAGGCAGTGTAGACGATTATGGGCAGGTACGAAGCGAAGTCCGGGACGGCATTGAGCAAGCACCTGGCGGAGAGGCCAATCGATCCGGTAAACTGACATGGTGACCGAGGATTGTATTTTCAATAATCGCTTGGAGGGTTTTTTCATTCGTCGTGGAGCAAGTTGTGGCTTTGGGTGGAGATCGGTTTTGAGACTAGAGAAGCAAACGGCCACGCAAGGCCATAAGCGGGGTACTCGTGTCTCCGACAGCCGGGCCCAGAACGGGTGCCTCTTTTGGAATAGCCCCGTGCGGATCCAGGAAAAGTATAGTGGGTGGGCTGCTTTGGATGGCTGTGATACGGTAGTGGAGAGGGATAACGGCATCCGAGGAGAGTGGACACACTTGACGCATGGAGTGAGAGGTTATGCCTCTGGAACCTATCGACCGATATGTATGAGCTTTCATTCAAATTTATTGCGGGCTGGAGCGTGTGAAGATGATATAAGAGGTTTGATACTTAATAGAGTCATTTAGTCTGATGGTTGAAGGTTTTGGTATCGAGGTTACATCACTCCATCTGGTGGAACGGGTACTCGGGTGCAAAAAACGAGGGTTTTTCGGGTACAGCCGAAAATGCACCCGATTCCTTTCCCTCAACTATTTTATCCCCCAACCGAGCTTCCTCTACCGGTAATTACCCCTTCTTTACTTGTATGTGGAGACGTGCCCGACTTTTGTCAACCCCCGAGCACGGGTATGCGCTCGAGTACTTGTATGAGTACAGTTATACCGGTACCATCGGATAGACCGCCTGCAGAGAAGGTGGCAGGAGTTAGCAACACCCGTCGAAAATTCACTGGAGAACAAACTAAAGCCACTGGCACGTTTGCCTTATCGTTATTTCGATGAATGGTTTACTCTAGGACCTACGATCAAGGACCGGAAATCCAGACTGGGTTCGGGAATAATGGTTAGTCGGGGCTGAGGTTAAGTTAGCTATGATCCGGGATCTCGTCGATGGTACCTACGGGATTGTCGGGGAAACAATACTAATAACTCTGAGAATTTAACCACGTTTAGATATAGATTCAGCTATCCTTCTTCCCGGGTATCGCCTTCCTACGTGTGCTCTGGGATTTCCGACGGATCTGGCTGGATATCCGCTGGTGCTGTAGCTGGTGTTGGGGGTGGGGACGGGCTTATCGGGCCGGGTCGTGGTTTCTGACCCTCGGTTTTGATCTGCTGGTAATTCTAATTCTTGTATTATCCTGCTAGGTTGGACTGACGATGGATAGAAATTCCGGTTTGGATGAGGTGCACTTTTGCTTATGATAGCTGAACTTTGCTTCGATTGAAAGGAATACTTTGCCCTATTAGCCGCCGAATTTTCCAAATACACTGAGGTTGCCTGGAATCACCTACTACTTTAAGACCTTGGTTTAGTCCTTTTTTTTTTTGCGACTGTGTTCATTACGAGTTGTTTCTCCTTCCTGTCCGTGGAGAGGCAGGTTAATCTACAGGTGGGCTACTTTCCCAATGAGGTTCGTGAGCTGCCGGGACTAGTTCCCAATGAGGGGGGGCCATTCCCGGAGCCAACATACCGGTACCGTACCCTCTAGATAAAATTTATGCGAATTGTTTCGGAAAGGTTGTTGTGAAGAGTGTAGTCTTCCTCGCCCCTATCGTTCAAAGGTCATAGAGCTATTGGTTTCAACCAACTCTAGAGAGAGGCGCTACAGTGGATGCCAGTTCTTTACTAGCAGGACCATTGTTCACATTGGCCAACCTCTTCATGGGCCGGGACGGGGGAGTTTGGTACCGGTACTCCGGGCAGTTAGAGCATAACCTGGTGAAACCCGTTTTCACGTCAAGGGTCGAAAGGGGGGTGTAGCTCAGTACGAGAGCTTCTCCTAGTGAGTGGCCCCGAGTGGTAGGATTTTCACAAATATTTGCCGCGGTGAGTTTTTTTCGAGACATTTGCCACTTATTTAAAGGACATAGCTACTTAGAAGGGCTGCTTTGTGGAAGATCTTGAACCACACTTTATTTTGACCTCTTAGCGGGAAAACGTGTTTCATCGGATCACTCGCACACGGGTATAGGTTGGGTATGTCAGCTTGTCTCGAGAAGGGAGGCTGGAATCCTTACTCATTTGAGTCTTAAATACTGTCGCGCCTGCTGGTTAAAGGTCTTAAGTTCTGGTGTCCGCCTACCGGCATCGCTCTGGTATTGTAATCTTGGCTCGAAGGGATTAGGGCGAATATGAATTTTTGAGATTAACCCTAACCCTTTCCGGCGATTCCCGGGCTGCCTTGAACAAACCAAAGGCTACGAGGATCTGGTCACGCAGTGATGGGCAGGTTGCGGCATCAGGGCTTGGCTGGTGCATCAATGCTCGTGCAGTGTAACTGAATTTCTTCTTCCGAGATATCTTTCACTTTGAAATTGCTTATGAATGGTTTGTCTGATTTGTGTTTGGAGAATTCCATGAGGGCCTGGACTACGCGAGTCCTGTACGAGCACTACATGCGATAAAGTTTGATCAGATATATACATGTGTGGAATCATGGAAGGAAGAAAAAAACTACAGGTAACTGATTGCTACTGGCGGTTTGAATTCAGGGGTATGGGCTGATGGTGTTACTAAAAAGGTGCTCTAAAAAGTTCATTTATCATCATGCTCTCTCACTCGGGGGCTAACTTCACCTAATCGGGTGGCTGCTTTAGGTTCAGTCTGATGCGTGCCAAATTCCGGGAGCCAGCATAGAGACTTAGGGGTTGTGCAGCAGGGGAAATAGGGCGGAAAG